CATTTTTTTAATGTTTTATTTATTTTTGAGAGAGAAAGCATGAGTGGCGGAGGGGCAGAGAGAGAGAGACAGAGACAGAGAGAGAGAGAGAGAGAGGGAGGGACAGAGGATCCTAAGTGGGCCCTGTGCTGACAGCAGCAAGCCCGATGCAAGTCTCGAACTCCACTGTGAGATCACAACCTGAGCCACTGTTGGACACTCAACCAACTGAGCCACCCAGGCACCCCTGTAACCTATATCTACTTAGCCTTACATTATAAGCATTTGATATATAATTGATAAGTACTTTTTTGTACTGTTTATATATTTTGATTAAGAGAGGGCTGGGGAGAGACAGGTAGAGAGAATGGGAGAGAAAATCCCAAGCAGGCTCCACACTCAGTGCAGAGCCTGATGCAGGGCTTGATCCCATGACTGCGAGTAATGACCTGAGCCACCCACGTGCCCCTTGTTAAGTTGTTTAAAAAACTTTTATACCAGGGCTGAGTGTAGCCTGCTTAAGAGTCTTTCTCTCCCTTGCCCCTCTCCCGTGTGCACTTTCTCTCCAAAATTAAAAAAAAAAAAAAAACATTGTTTTAAGTTTTATAGCTCTATTAGCCAGTGTATGGATATACCACAACTTAACTATTCTCAGTTCTCGATATGCTCAATATTTTGTTGAAAAATGCGTATCCTTCCCTCCCCACCCCCACCAACCCCTGGGGCTATTTTTTTAGGCTGCATTCTTAGAAGTATGATTTTACCAGGCCAAACTTCAAAGCATTTATTGAGGGGGGGGGGGGAGGACATATCAAGATGTTCTCAAGAGATGATCCCAGTTGACGTCCCTTCCAGTAGTGTATGAGAATGCCTGTCTCACACACCTCTCCTCATATTGTGCGTGATTGGTTTTAGGTATGACTTGGTTCAAATACATGGGTAAGTCCGCACAAAAATACAGCTAGGACATTTTGGGATTCTTGTCTCATGGCTGATCTAAATATAGAGGAAATAGGAGCAATCCCAGGGAAGTAGCTAATCCTCCCTCTATCACACTCACCATCTCTTTACACGGGGTGTCCTCCTTCCCATCATGGCAGATGAACCCTCTCCTGTTCTTAGCTGAGACTGACACCTCCCCACATGTGAGCTACATCCACAAACCCTTTCATCCCTTCAGGAACTTTCTCTCCTCTTGCCCTATTAATTTCTCACTTTACACAGATCAGTCTCACCAACATGAAAGCATGCCTTCTATAACCTATCTTTAAAACCGAACAACTTAAGAAATCTCTGCCCCCTTGTCCCCCTCCAGCTACTATCCCATTTCTCCTTCCCCCTTCACTGCAAAACTGTTTACTCACTTTTGTTATCTTTACTCATTTTCGTTCTCCCATTTTCTCCCTAACCCTCTGCGGCAACATGGATCCTTTTAAACTATGATTTTTGAAAAGTATAAAATGTGGCTGTTGGGTAAATGTAAAATAAATGTGTCAGATATTTTAAAGCATTTTTTTTAATGTTTATTTATTTTGAGAGAGAGAGAGAGAGAGAGAGCGTACACGTGCAATTTGGAGAGATGCAGAAAAAGAAAGGAGAGAGAATCCGAAGGAGGCCCAGATGCAGGAATCGATTCCATGACTGTGAGATTATGACCTGAGCCAAAATCAAGAGTCAGATGCTTAACCGACTAAGCCACCCAGGTGCACCAGATATTTTAATTAATAATAGAACCAGTAAGATATTAAGACCAGTTCAAAGGAGAATTGGAAGAACAAACATAGACAATTAGGTATAATG